AGGCCAGGTAGGTGGATCACTTGAGGCCAGGAGTTCAAGACCGGTCTGAGCACCATGGCAAAAACCCCATTTCTACAAAAAATACAAGAAACTAGCTGGACATGGTGGTGCAGGCCTGTAGTCCCAGCTACTCAGAAGGCTGAGGTGGGAGGATCACCTGAGCCCTGGGAGGTCAAGGCTATCATAAGCCATGATTGCACCACTACACTTCAGCCTGGGTGACAGAGCAAAACCCTGTCTCAAAAGAAAAAAAAAAAACAAAAAAAACGAAAAATCTGAAATTAAGCATCGCCCCAAAGCTTCTCTTCTAGTAAACTCTCCATCATCTCTCCAGTTTTAGCCTAAACGTCCCTTCCTCAGAGAAGGCTTTTCTGATCCGGAAGATCCAGTTAGGAGAATCAGAATCGGTGTCTGCTAAATGTTCCTGCGCAGCCTTCACTTTTCCTTCAAAGCCCTCATCCAATTGTAATGGGTTTTTTATATCTGTCTCTCCTAACTCTCAGCTCTGTGAGGGTAGAGCCTGTGTCTCTTGTAAGAAATGCTGTATGCCCCGGATCTGGCAGAGTACAAGGCATGTAGTGGGTGCTTAGAGTGTTACAGCAATGATTCAATAGTCAAGCTATTCACATATAAACATCTGATTTTTTTTTTTTTTTTTTTTTTTTTTGAGACAGAATCTTACTCTGTCACTCAGGCTGGAGAGCAGTGGTGCAATCTCAGCTCACTGCAACCTCCACCTCCCAGATTCAAGCAATTCTCCTGCCTCAGCCTCCCAAGTAGCTGGGATTACAGGCACCTGCCACCACGCCTGGTTAATTTTTTTTTTTTTTTTTTTTTTTTTTTTTTTTTTTTTTTGAGACGGAGTCTCGCTCTGTCACCCAGGCTGGAGTGCAGTGGCCAGATCTCAGCTCACCGCAAGCTCCGCCTCCCGGGTTCACGCCATTCTCCTGCCTCAGCCTCCTGAGTAGCTGGGACTACAGGCACCTGCCACCACACCCAACTAATTTTTTGTATTTTTAGTAGAGATAGGGTTTCACTGTGTTAACCAAGATGGTCTCGATCTCCTGACCTCGTGATCCGCTTGCTTTGGCCTCCCAAAGTGCTGGAATTACAGGCGTGAGCCACCGCGCCCGGCCAATTGTTTAATTTTTAGTAGAGACGGGGTTTCACTATGTTGGCCAGGCTGGTCTCGAACTCCTGACCTCAAGTGATCCACCCACCTCAGTCTCCCAAAGTGCTGGGATTAAAGGCATGAGCCACTGTGCCCAGCCCAATATCTGGTATTTTTTAAAGTACATTTTTACTCACTTTAAATGTGATGCGATAAATCTCTTTAATTATTATTATTTTTTGTATGTGGTATAACATACATAACATAAAATTTACCATCTTCACTATTTTAAAGCATACAGTTTTGTGATACTAAACACACTCACATTGTTGTGCAACCATCACTACCATTCACCCACAGAATTTTTTTCATTTTGCAAAACTGACACTGTACCTATTAAAAAATAACTCCCCATTTCCTTTTCCTCCCAGCCCCTGGCAACCATCATTCTACTTTATTTTTGTCTCTATGAATTTGAATACTCTAGGTACCTCATGTAAGTGAAATCATACAGTATTTTTTCTTTTTCTTTTTTTTTTTTTTGAGACAGAGACTCGTTCTGTCACCCAGGCTGGAGTCCAATGGCACCATCTCAGTTCACTGCAACCTCCACCTGCTGAGTTCAAGCGATTTTCTTGCCTCAGCCTCCTCCCGAGTCGCTGGGATTACAGGCCCACCACGGTATTTTTTTTTTTTTTAGTAGAGACATGGTTTCGCCAAGTTGGCCAGGCTGATCTTGAACTCTTGACCTCAGGTGATCCACCTTGGCCTCCCAAAGTGCTGGGATTACAGGCACCCAGCCACAGTATTTTTTCTTTAAAGGCCTTTTATCTTTCTGAATTGATAAGGGATACAAACTTATGTGGTCTTGTTTGTTAGAGTGAGGTTTTTAAGACTCTGATTCAAAGAGAACTCTGGTTATTCTTGGTCTATTTGTATTTATAGAATCAGAGATTAATAGAAGAGGAGGAGATGTAACACATGATCTTCTTCAGACTTTTAAGCTCCAAGTATAAGATTTATTGCTAGACTGAAATTCAAATGGTGCAGGAATGGTGAACCCAGTATTACCCCCTGTCTGTCAACACACAGAATGTGATAATCCAAGGCAACGCAATTAAGACAGTGGTTCACCCAAACATTACTTATTTTCACATCTTACCAAGGCTGCCAGTATAGTGTGGGAGGGAAAGTGCAGAATCAACCCAAGACACTCAAATAAGAAATAAAAACAGGATGAATGTGGCAGACATCCTCGGGTGGCCATTTAATACCTGAATCTGGGTTACAGTGAAGGAACTGGCTGTAGTCTCTGACCTAACAAGCCTGGTCAAGTTACATGATTTCTGTCTCTGCTTTAGCTGGAAGATACTCACCAAACAAACAAACAAACAAAAACAATGAATCTTGATGGCTTGGAGGTGGCAGAGAGGGAAAGGGCTTGCAAAAATTGAGATCCACATATGCAACATCTCTTGACAGGTCAGTGAATTGGCAACTAATAGCAGTACAGGTAAGACTTCAGAGACAGATATTCAGATTAGCTATCGATACAACTCAAATGGTCCTCCTGTATATTGCAGGGAGGAGGAGGGGGAGAGGTAGAAGTGTTCATAGTGGCTTAGCAACATGGACAGGGGCTAAAACGGGAGTCTCCTTTGAGGCTTTAAGCATCACCAGATTCTGAGGAGCATGCAGAGCAAAGAGCTGAGTAAGACCCTAAGTCTTGCAGCCTAGTTTAGGACATGGGAAGGGGTGCAAAATTTAAGGAGGGACACAGATCACTGTTGGAACCAAGAATTTGAAAAGTAAGGGATTAGCAAGCAGCAGTTCAAGCATAAGCAGGCAGGGATCTGGAACAAGAGCCAGGCCCGGGATGTTTGTGACCATGGCCCATACCGACAGCCTTAAAGGACTAGACATAGGAAGACATACTTTGTGCAATTGGCTAAACAGATTGCATTTATTTGACTATATAGATTTGTTCATGTAGACTATGTAGATTTAACTGTGTAGATTTGTCACGATCTTCCTTCCCTAAAACCTGCTTCCTCCATATCTTAGATGTTGGCCAAAACTTTGTGGCCACCCTGGTATCTTGATTACAGATCAACCACCTGGATGCCAAACAGTGTACCTGTGGGAACTTCTTGCAAGATGTGCTCTCTACTCCCAATGATTTGGCCTGGAATTAGAGATGTGAATTCCACTTTGAGAATTTTGCAGGTGTCTGGAAAGCGCTGGGTCCCATACAAAACCATTCTCATATCTTCAACACACATTTGTGTTTTACTTATGCAGAGGTGATAATGGGCTGCCATTCATTCCTTCAACTTCCTTTGACTATTGAAAGAAATAATTCTATTATAGAGTTTGTTGAGAATCTTTGTAGTCCAAGTTCAAGTAAAAACACATATATCACGGATAAAATAGTTTCAGAAATCAGTGGACAAGTTTGTGTTAGTTTTTGCAACCTCAGGTCCCACTGCCAGGCCAGATAATGCTTTCCTTCTTGGATCACATGTTGTGTGCTTCAGTCTGAATAACATTAAAAATATTTCTCTTAGCAGGATGCAGTGGGGTTGTTTTCTTTTTAATTTCAAATAACACCACTCCTTGAACTGGGAACAAACAATTCACTTGCAGCTCGGCTCTGCTTTTATTTGTAATTTTCACATAAATCAACTTATATGAAAATGTATTCATAATTTGAGCTTTCTCTATAGCGATAAAATGTTTCTGCTTCTGTGGTAGAAAATAGCTTATTATGCAAACAACATTGCCACTCTTACATTATGCATGGGATTTACCTGGAGAACATCACAAAGGCTTCAGGGAAAAAAAAAGCCAGGGAGGGTGTAGTAGGGTGCTTCGTTTACTGCACCATTTACCTATAATAATTGGCTACAAATGAACTAATATCTGTATTTAGCAACTTACTTAATATTGCTTTGGTTAATTCAGTGAAACAATGGAGAAAAAGAAAAAAATACAAGGGAGGTGTCCTGACAAATGGTGCCTTTCAGGATGTCAGCTCCATGAAAAATGAGATCTGGTGGTTTCAAACTTAGGCCAGTGGTGGTGAGTAATTAATGGCCAACTCATTTGAACTTGTGTGCTTGATCTAATTTGGGATATTGGGAGTTCACACTGATTTGCCTTTAAAAAGAATGTCACTGTCAAATAAGGTGATTGTGTAAGATTGATATGGAGAACTTGGACTTGGATGTACAGCACATTTTATATTTAGAGAGGCAGCAGCAAACAGTGTGATTACTAACCTTGTGTGCAATGAGACCACCATCCCGGAGGAAAAGATGGTGTCCTTTCTACACAGGATTCAAGCAGGGATCACTTTAGGCATAAGTGGTTTATGATATTTATTTTTTTCAATCATAGAACAAATACGTTTTGAGTGTCTTTTCATTGTGTTCAGGCCTGAGGATAAAACAATAATGCAGTATGGCCCCTGCTCTTATGTTGCCTCCATTCTAGTTGGGGAGTGGGGCTGGCAAGCAAAGAACAAGTAGCACAAACAAATAAAATAATTGCAATAAGAATGATAAGTGCTGTGAAGGAAATACACAAGGAGTATAATTAAAGGGGTTATGGAGTGGTCCAGCATTCCTGGGATATAGAGTATAACCTTCGACAAATGATTTAACCTACCTAAATTTATCATGTGTAAATTATAAAGAAATATGTGTGCATGAATTATTACTTTAGGTGTTGTCAACCAACACACAGTTGCCCCCTGTGAGTCTGCCATCTTAAATCACTGGCAGTGGTCTGTTTGCTCCATCTGGACCATCCCATTTCAAAGGATCAAATACCAAGGAGATGATTCTGTAGTTGTAGCTTTCTAGCAATTCATATTTCTTCTTTGCAGGGCTTGTGGCTGCTCTATTGTGTGTTCTCCAAAGGGCAGCTTTCTTCTATTGGTTCTGCTGCAGGACTTCTGCTCATCCTTGTTTAGGTCAGGATTTCAAGGTCCTCCCTGGAAAGATGAAGTAGCAGGAAATGATAGACCGAGCACCAGGCCTGGAATCAGAAGCCCGGTGTTCCACGCCCAGCTTTATTTCTTAATGGGTGCCTGACTTCAGTCAAGTTATATTCTTTTCAGAATACCAGCTCCTTGTCATGATTAAAAGGTATGTAACAATAATCTCTTCTCTAATAATATCTAGTAATACCTCTCTAAGTTATTATGAAGTAAAATGAAAATTCATACATTATTTAAATAATTTCAGGCCACAGGAAAAACAAAGGACAGTTCGTTTGTTCACTTTACAAAGCTAGGATGATCTAATAATTATATGCTCACTCACAAATGTGGATGGAAAAAGTCTGACTAAAACATTCGTTTATTGAATGTAGCATTGTATCAAATGAATGACACACCATGACTAGGAGGGTTTATTTTTGTAAGTAAAGCTATTTTGATATAACAAAATCTACAAGTTAATAATTCTTCAAATTAAACTAAAAGAGGAAAAAGAGTAATATGATTAAATCATTAGATGCTGTGATGTAATTTTGTAAAATTAAATAAGCATTCTTTTTTAAAAATAATTTCACCTTTTATTTTAGATTTAAGGGGTACATGTGCAGGCTTGTTGCATGGGTACGTCGTGTGATGCTGAGGTTTGGGATATGGAGGATCCTGTCACCCAGGTAGTGAGCATCATAGCCAATAGGTAGTTTTTCAGCCCAATCCCCCCTCCCTCTCTTCTCCCTCTAGTAGTCCCCAGTGTCTCTTGTTGCCATCTTTATGTCCATGTGGACTCAATGTTTAGCTCCCACTTATAAGTGAGAATATGTGGTATTTTGGTTTTCTGTTCCTGCGTTAATTTGCTTAGGATAATGGCCTCCAGCTGTATCCACGTTGCTGTAAAGGACATGATTTTGTTCTTTTTCATGGCTGTGCAGTATTCCATGGTAAAAATGTGCCATATTTTCTTTAATCCACCATTGATGGGCACGTAGGTTGATTCCATGTCTTTGCTATCATGAATAGCGCCACGATGAACATACGAGTGCATGTGTCTTTTTGGTAGAATGATTTATTTTATTTTGGATATATAGCCAGTAATGGAATTGCTGGGTCAAATAGTAGTTCTGTTTTAAGTTCTTTAAGAAATCTCCAAACTGCTTTCCACAGTGACTGAACAAATTTACATTCCCACCAACAGTGTATAGGCATTTCCTGACAAGTGTGAGATTGTATCTCCTTGTGGTTTTGATTTGCATTTCTCTGATGATTAGTGATGTTGAACATTTTTTCACATTTTTGTTGGCCACTTGTATGTCTTCTTTTCCAAAGTGTCTGTTTATGTCTGTTGCCCTATTTTTTTTCTTTTTCCCAGTTACATGAGAAAGGAAATGTTGACCATTTTTAAATCAGGTTGTTTTATTTTGTTTTTTTTTCTTGTCGATTTGTTTAAGTTCTTTACAGATTCTGGATACTAGATTTTTTTTTTTCTTTTTTCTTTGAGATGGAGTCTGGCTGTCGCCCAGGATGGAGTGCAGTGGTGCAATCTTGGCTCACAGCAACCTCTACCTCCCGGGTTCAAGAGATTGTTCTGCCTCAGCCTCCTGAGCAGCTGGGACTACAGGTGCGTGCCACCATTACAATTTTTGTAATTTTGGTAGAGACGGGGTTTCATCATATTGGTCAGGCTGGTCTCGAACTCCTGACCTCAGGTGATCCACCCGGCTCGGCCTCCCAAAGTACTTGGATTACAGGCATGAGCCACTGCATGTGGTCAGATTTTTTATTTTTATTTTTTTGACACAGGGTCTTACTCCATTGCCCAGGCTGGAGTGCAGTGGTGTGATCTCAACTTACTGCAACCTAACCTCCCAGGGCTCAAACGATCATCATACCTTAGCCTCTCTAGTAGCTAGGACTACAGGTGCATGCCACCGCAACCAGCTAATTTTTGTATTTATTTTTTTATAGAGATAGAGTTTTGCCATGTTGCCCAGACTGGTCTTGAACGCCTGGGCTCAAGGGATCCTCCTGCCTCAGCCTCCCACAGTGCTGAGATTACAGACATGAGCCACCATGCCTGATAAAATTCGGAGGAATAATTTGATAAGATTCGTACCCCCTGGCCAGGTGCCATGGCTCACGCCTGTAATCCCAGCACTTTGGGAGGCTGAGGCAGGTGGCTCACCTGAGGTCAGGAGTTCAAGACCAACCTGGCCAACATGGTGAAACCCCATCTCTACTAAAAATGCAAAATATTAGCTGAGTGTGGTGGCGGGTGCCTGTAATCCCAGCTACTCAGGAGGCTGAGACAAGAGAATCGCTTGAACCAGGGAGGAGGAGGTTGCAGTGAACCAATATCACACCATTTAATTCCACCCTGGGCAACAAGAGCAAAACTCTGTCTCAAACAACAAAAAAAATTGCATCCCTCTTTTAAAAACCGTAAAAAATCATATGGATAAATGGAGAAATGTATAATCATTGACACAGATCACTCAAAACTGTAAAATTTTCAGTTTTTTCAAAATCAGTAGATACATATTTGCAGTTGCATTGAAAATCTTAATGGAAATCTTAAAATAGTTAAGAAAATTATGCAAAAGAGGAATAAGAAATACCTTACTGGGTATTAAAAATAACTTTAGGGCCGGGTGTGGTGGCTCACGCCTATAATCCCAGCACTTTGGGAGGCCGAGGCGGGCGGATCACCTGAAGTCGGGAGTTTGAGACCAGCCTGACCAACATGGAGAAACCCTGTCTCTACTAAAAAATGTCTCTGGCTAAAAATTAGCCAGGTATAGTGGCACATGCCTGTAATCCTAGCTACTGGGGTGGCTGAGACAGGAGAATCGCTTGAACCCGGGAGGCAGAGGTTGCGGTGAGCCAAGATCGCACCACTGCACTCCAGCCTGGGCAATAAGAGTAAAACTCCATCTCAAAAAAAAAAGAAGTACCTTTAGAACCACTATAATCAAAATTGTTTGGTATTGGCATCAAATCAGATAAATCAATCAGAGGAGTAAAGACTCCAGAAAAAGACCCAGGTGTTTATGAGACCATACTGTATATCAAAAGTGGCATAGCAACTTATTAAAAGAGTGGTTTATTTAACAAATAACACCAGAAAAAATTGGCTACGTATGGGAAAGGGAACAAAAATTATATCCCCTACTTCATCATACATAAAGTCAAAGTAGATTAAAGAAAGTAATATGTTGAGATCTATTAAAATGAATAATGTGGCTGGGTGCAGTGGCTCACACCTGTAATGGCAACGCTTTGGGAGGCCGAAGTGGGAGGATCTTTTGAGCCCAGGAGTTTGAGGCCAGCCTGGGCAACGTAAGGAGACCCTATATCTTCAAGTAAGTAAAAATTAGGCAGGCATGGTGGCACATGCCTGTAGTTCCAGCTACTCAGATCACTTGAGCCTGGGAGGTCAAGGCTGCAGTGAGCTGTGATCGTGCCACGGCACTCCAGCCTGGGCAAGAAAACGAGATGCTGTCTCAAAAAAAAAAAAAATGTACTTAAGCTCTGACTCTGTCAGTAGGATTCTAGCCAACAGAAATAAAGCACCCATATATAAGAATATGCATACTAGGATATTTATTACAACATTTTATTGGCAAGCAAAAAAAAAAAAAATGGAAACAACCTCACTGTCCATCCACAGGACCATTGAATAACAACATCTATACATTGGAATTTTGTGCAGCCATTTAAAAGAATGAATTCACCTATATCTGTCAGCTTGGAGGGATGTCCATGAGGTAATAAAAGAGACAAAAGTAAGCTACAAAATTATGTAAAGAGGATGATCTGAGTTTTGTATTTGTCTTTTATATGCACAGAAAAGCGTATGAAAGTGTACATACAGGCAGTCAATATTGGTTTTCTATGGGAAGAGGATGAAAATGGACAGAGATGAAACAGAAGATGCCTGACTTTTTCAATGAACACATGTTCCTTTTAAAATTAGGAAAATCATGAGAAATGTTAAAATGCCCAAATGTGATTGGCATTATTTCTTTTACTTTTTCTTTTTTTTTTTCTTTCCTGTTGAGACAGGATCTCACTCTGTTGCCCAGGCTGGAAGGCAGTGACATGATCATGGCTCGCTGCAGCTTTGACCTCCTGGGCTCAGGTGATCCTCCCACCTCAGCCTCCTAGGTAGCTGGGACTATAGGCACGTGCCACCAAGCGGGGCTAATTTTTTGCTGTTGTTGTTATTGTTGTTAGTAGAGATGAGGTCTCACTATGTTGTCCATGCTGGAATTGGCATTATTTCCTGCCTCTGGTGATTTTTACTTATTTGCTCAAGAATTAGAAAGTATGCTTGTTGAGAATGAGCAAATTCTCCTCTAATCAGGTAACATTTTTCCAAATGTACTCCGGGAACTAAGACTTCAGAGTCCTGAATGTCCAGATCTTCACATCCCAAGTGTTTCTCTTCAGACTCAAACGATCAATGTCAAAAAAAAAATTACATTAGACAATGAGAACAATTTATGAAACTTAGATTAAAAAGCCACTTGGTTGTGAAGTGATGTGATCCAAGCCCCTTGGATGTGAAGGTAGCCTCTACAGGGAAGAAACTTAGGACCTATGAAATTCTTAAAAGGACACCAGTCTCACAGCTTGTGATGCTGTGATGTAAGGAGACTCATCTCCCGAACTAAAACTCAGCTCTCTTTCCACAGCCCCCACGCTACCTCGCAATACAGGCGACAGAGGCTAAGCTTATTCCAAATGGAAATGATTTTTTCTCCTATGAATTTATTTACAGGCTATTGTAATGAACTGTAAGTATCACACAGCCCTGAAAATGTTCTGCTGTTTTAAACTCTTAGTTTTCAAGATAGAGTAAACAGAAATTTTCATAGGCTTGTGATGACCGCATCCCGCAAGACCTGGCATGACTCTTAAAGTCAAACTAATGCCAACTTCCACCCATTTCATTTTACATTTTACTGCCATCCAAGCAAAAATTAGGAACAGTTTGCAGTCCAGTGTGAACTAGAGGCCTCCTGGTCCAATGCCACAATTCCCTAGGTGTCTGATGGAAGGCAAGTTATTTAGGAGAGGCAAGCTGGTGGAATGGACAAAGCACACACTTAGGAATTAGAGAGCAGCTGTAGCACATGCCTTTGTGTGTTTGTGTTTGCAAGGCTTAGAATTGTGTAGATAATGATCACAAGCACTTTCTGTTGTTTGCAACCTGTGAACAAATGCCAGCAACTGACTGACTGGCTGAGCTGGATGGGTCCCCCAGAGGATGGGTTGCTGGCAGCTGTTCCTGGTATATCTTCATGCATAGTTACTTGTGATAGAAGAAATAAAATTGGAGCAAGAGAACAACTTGGCTTCACTCCTTTGGTGCCGGGAAAGGGTTGTGTCTTGAACTCATCTGTCTGTATCCTGTTAAGAGTAGCTCAGATGTAAATTTCAAATTAAATAAGAACGTCTAAGAGAATGCATTATGAACTCAG